ATCTCCCTGTTCCCTGACTGCCCCCCGAAACCTCCTGCCCCTTCTCCAACCCCCCAGCCCTCTTATCGTGCCGCTCAGACCAGCCTGTCGGGCTCCGCGTGGAGCCAGACATGCTGCTGCGCTCCCCCGCGGAGTGCACAGCCCCCTCCCGAGCGCTGCCGGTGCGGCATGCTGAGGCTGTGGGGGACAGGGGAGCAGGAGAGGGGCTCTGGCTGCTGGAGGCCCCGATGCGAGCGGCTCAATCCGGCTTGGCCGCTCTGTCAGCCATGCTGCGCTCTGCTTTGGGAGGGAAATCCCGGACCTTTTTCGATTTTTATAAAAGTTCTCCCAGACGGCTATTTAAAACCCCAAAATCCGGATGTGTCCGGGATAATCTGGATGTATGGTAACCCTATCCAATATGGAAGAATTTAGAATGATATGGGAAAGTTCTAGAATGCTCACAGCTACAAGGACAGAAGTGTATTCCTTCCTTATTAAAAAAGGAAACAAAAATTATTTCGTTCAACAATTAAAAAAGAACAGAAAAAGTTACCAAAGCTCATCATCTACATTAAACATTTTGCAAATCATGGCTTTAGAAGCATTGTGCACCTTTGATTATGTCTGTATTAAGACAAGGTTAGGTAAAGGACTAAAAAACACGGAGGAAACTAAAAAAAAGATTTGGAGGAAATTAACATTCAAACAAAACAGTGTTAACGCAGGATACTGCACAGAAGAAAAAAAAAGTCCTGACCATGTCAAAAACATTGAGACAAATCTCTTCAGGTTTGCTGCTGCTTATTAAGACCATGCAATAATGAAAGTATAACACAAGGTTACTGTTTACACTTTACCAGATACACAGGAAACCAATTTCAGTGTGCTTCTAACAGAAGAACAAATGCCATAACCAAACTGGTACATACAAAGAAGAGTTCCACTGCTATACAGACCACACAAACTGTGTTATTGCTTTCTGTAGCACTGCTACATTTTCTGTGCTTCACTTCACAAGTTTATAAGGACATCACATTTAAGAAAAGCATTTTTTCATAACCAAACATGAAGCATGCAGTGCAATTCTACAAACTGTTCACTTAAGTAATAAGCAACGCAGCTCATTCAAAATGCAGTTGGTTATGTTTTTATATTAAAAGTGTGGAACTGAAGAATACCTCAGAATGAATGAATGGCTTGCATTATTTTTACGTTCAACTCATCTTTTTCTGAGTAAACCTGGCAATTATTTAAGTTTTTAATTCTTTGAAAGAAACACAATCCTAGCAGGTACTTTCCTTTTCGTCATCATTTTTTTTTTTTAAATGTAACCCTCCCCCGCACACACCGTTTTAGAAAGGTGCATTCTCTGTAAAACTGTCCCAAAAGTTT